GAGTTATTTAAAAAGGAAAGTAAAAAAAATGAAGAAGTAAAATTAAATGAAATTAATTTAAAAGAAGATTTGATTGAAATTGTTGATAATAAAAAAATTAAAAGTGAATATAAAAATAATAAAGAATTAATTAAAATAGATAAATGTTTAAATGAATTAATTTGTATGAAAAGTGAGATGAAATTAATTGATAAATCAATAGAAAAATTAATTGATAAAGTTAAAGAATTTAAAGAAAAACAATAAAATTTTAATTTTAAAAAGTTTTAAGTAAATGGGAAATAGAAAATATAGAAATGAATATACTAAAGAGGAGTTAATTGCTGCTATAAAGTTAAGGAATAGTGAAAAATACATAAAATGGTATAATGAAGTGTTGAGTAAAAAGATAAAGACTATTGAAATGTATGCTTCTATTGCAAATTCAATTAGTTATGACATCAGACCTACCATACTTAAAACAATATATGAGAGACTAGAATTTGAGTTTAAAGAATCTTTTCTTCAAGAGTTAAAAATGGGTGTTAATCAACACTTTGTGTATTATGATACTTTCTATAGTGTTTATAATTTAACAAGTATAATTAATACATTTAAATGTTCTATAGATAACTATGACTCACACTCTGATAAATCAATTATTAGAAATTTCTATTTAAATCACTATAAAAAGGATGTAAATAAAAAAGATCACAATATTCTTTATGATTATATTTTAGAAAGTGAAAGTAATAAGATTTTTGAAGATTTAAAAGAAGAAATTGAAATTTTAAATGAAAACAAACAAAATAATGATTATTACACAATTAATAAGGTTGTGTTTAATGACTTTCTTGAAAAAGTAAAAATGAGTTTAGAGCCTGTAAATGATAAATTTAGAAAAAATTCTAAATTAGAAAATAAAAACCAAGAATTTATAAAAGAAATTGATTTAGTTAGAAAAGATATAGAAGAGTTGAGATCATCTTTATTGAGTATTATTAAAAAGATGGATTAAATTTATTTACCAGTATGGATTTACTTTATCAGGTTTATATAATTTTATTAAACTGTCTAATTCTTTAATTGCGTAACTCATTATTTCATCATTTTCAGTAATTAAATCATTAATTGTAAATGTTTTAACGAGAAATAAATCACTTAATTTTATAAACTCAATTGTGTATCCATCTTTATTAACTATGTAAATATCAAAGGTTCCTTTATTAGTAAATTTAAAATCAGGTAATTCTATTTCTTTATAACTTACTGACAGTCCTATTCTTTGTTTATTTTTATCAAGTCCTGATCTTTCTATAACTTTGATTAAGTTATTTTGTGTTTGCACTTCTATATTTTTATAAAACTTATAATTCCTCTCTACCTTAATACTATGTTTTTTAAGCTCTTTAGGGATGTTCTGTACTAATCCATATAAACTACTCTCAATCATTCTGTTTAAAAAAATTGATTAAAATTTTATTTAAAAGAAATTTCCTCAAATTTACTTTCTTCTGTTATTGCAAAGGCTTTATACTCATTGTTTCCATAACAAACAGTTAATCCAAATCCTGATTTACCCCATTTTAGTGATTTAATTGGACTTCCTAATTGAAATATTTCACTGGTATATTCACCAGATTGATGATATTCAAGTATAACTAATTGTCCACTACTATAGCCTATTGCTATGAAATTTCTATTAAAATTGTTGTCTTTAGTTACACATACTGTAGTTGCAGGTTCAGAACCAAATTCTAAATCTTTAAACAAATCACTGACGTCATCATTCTTAAATGATAAAGTATTGTTTAGAATAAATTTAACTTTACTATCAATACCACACGTTACACACAATAATTTGTTTACTGAAACTGACGTTAAACCAAAGTTATGAACTTTACCACCTGTTACATTAATATCTTGTAAATTATTCTCATTGAAGGTTACAATGTAC